AAATAAATAAAATCTTTAAAAAAAAAAAAAAAAGGTGAAAGTTTCCTTCCAACGCCTATCCCTTATCCAGGTGACTTCAATTCTTTCTTGTCAAAAGAAAGAAGCAACTGGCAACCAGAAGCCCCAGAAATGAACTCTTCCATGAGGAAGACAACGCCAAAGCTGCTGCAGCCAAAGATGTCTAGCGCTCCTTGTGGGCTGTCACTGGAGATGGAAAGCTACACCATGGCAAGGTCTGCACAGAGAAGGAAACAGGTCTGGAGCACGCGCGCGCGCGCACACACACCCAAACACACACACCCGAAAAGGCAAGCTGCTTCAGACCTATAGGCAGAAACCTGGCATCCTCACACCCACTTGCAACCTGACAATTTACAGCCGGGTAACACCTTCTAATTAGGAACGTTCTAGCCTTTTAAAGATGAAAAATTAAACTGCTTCCCACAAGTAAGATAAATCAGGCACTGGCGCCTGTTACTGAAAATCCCCAGTGAATCAAACCTACCGTGTCGCTACTGAACCTGACAAGCCAGTGACCGGGTTTCCCTACAGCAGAGAGGGGAGGAGCCCACCCCGCTCTGTTGGGAGTGGAACGGGAGACAGAGGACAGGAGCAAGGGACGGAGCGCAGAGGCGTGAACAGCGTCCAAGCAGAGCTGGGCTCAGCACACCGGCGGGGACAGACAGACAGAGGGGACCACGCGGGGGCCGGGGGTGCAGGCTGCAAAGCGGGATCCCCGGGCTGCGGAAGCCGCCCCCCGAGTCTCTCCCTGCAAAGGCGCGCCCGTCAGGCGCACACACACCGCCCCCACGCCCGTCCGCAGCTCTCCGCGAGTCCCCTCCCAGAAGACACACGCCCGTACCCACCGGGGCACCGCACCCCGGGCTCGCGCGCACACGCCCCTCGGGCCGGCGGCACGTACGTACCCAGCAACACGCAGAGCACATCAAGGGCCACGTACGGCAGCCGCGTCTTGTCAAACATCGTCTCGGCCCCGGCGGCCCGACGCGGGCGGTAGATGAGGCACACAATTCACGACACCGGGCCGGGGGGGGGGGGTGGCGACGGCCCCAAGCTATGCCTCCTCTCGACCGGAGAAGCGCCGCTGAGGGCAGACGAGGTCCAGGCGGCTCTCTGACGACCAGCAATGGCGCCCGGGACCCCTGCCCTCGCAGCTCCCACACACCGAGACGCTCGCGTGCCAGCCGCGGCGGCTCCGTGGTCTCGGGCCCTCCTCGGTAGGCCCTGGCCTGCCCCGGCGGCTCGCTGTCCCGATCCCGGCGCCCGCTCCCAACAGGCGGGGCGTCGGAACTCGTGCTTTAAGGATGGGACCGGTAGGGAGGAGGAACATGGGCTCGGCCCCTCCCGCGGGACACGCGGGACCCGCCAGCGCGCGGCCTCGCTGGCTGAAGGGAGCGCGGCGAAGCCTAGGCGGCCAGTAATGGGGCGGCGGGGCGGGGCCGGGAACCCCAAGCCCGAGAGTTCTGGCCAATCAGCGCCGCCGGCCCCGCCCCGCCCGACCTGCGGAGCCCGCCTCTGAAGTGGGATGCAATGCGGTCTGGCAGACGTTGGGGGCGCCTCCGGTGCGAGGCAAGGGGCGTCGCTCCGACCGGCGTTTCTGGGGTGGTCGCAGGAGGAGGTCTCGTTAGCCCTGGCCAGGGGTTATTGATGCCGGGAGGGAGAGCTAGGTTCTGGACCTACGATCCCAGAGCGCCGGCTCTCTGCCAGCCATCCTCATCCATACGGTTTAGATACTAAAGAGGTCCGAGACAGGCAGTGACGAAGACTTGACCAAGCGTTACTTAGGCTCCTATGAGCCTTCTACTTGCTTGGGCTTCGACCTAGGCCTTGAAGTGTGGCCCGGCTGAACCCAGTATTAGTACGAATCCTGCTAAGTCATCCCGCTCCTTGATGTCTGATGCCTTTGATACGTGATCAAATTCCTTATTCGCCACCTTTGGCCTGCCTTTCTGTTTCTTCATAGTAATTTTCCATCCACTGACCCCCTCTCTCTGCTTGTTTGTTGGCTATAAATTCCCAGCTGTCTTTACTATATTCAAAATGAAGCACAATTTCTTTCTCCTATTGCAAAAATTTTGACCCCAAATAGCAGTAGTCTTCCTCACCATTTTAACGAGTGTCAACCCTTTCACCCCGTGTTCTAGGAGGACCCTACCAGAGATTTAGCAATCTCAGTTTCCTAATCTGTAAAATCAGGATGATAATCCCTGCTCTGTGTTGTGGTCAAAAAGTGGTGTAGCCTGGGGACACCTGGGTGGCTCAGTCCATTAACCATCTGACTCTTGATCCCAGCTCAGGTCTAGATCTGAGTCCTGAGTTCAAGCCCCACCTTGGGCTCCATGCTGGGTGTGGAGCCAGTTAAAAAAAAAAAAGTGGTGAAGCCTGGAAAAAAATATCAAAATTTTATAAAAGGTTAAAACCTCTATAGATGTTAACAACTGGTATGTTTTCTCCTTATTCATAGCTTCTTTTTTTTTATTCATATCTTCTTATGCAAGATGTAAGATAAAAATCGAAAACTGTGCCTACTACTTCTCAGACTTTTCCTGCCAGATGCCCCTAAAACTAATGGAGAGATAACACTTCCATTAAAGATTCTAAAGATAGAGCCCCAAGTTATACCCCACAAGCAAAAACGTATTTGATAAAGCAGGTTTTTCTTTAAGAAGAATGTAAATTTGGGGTGCTTGGGTGGCTCAGATGGTTAAGCGGCTGCCTTCAAGTCAGGTAATGATCCCAAGGTCCTGGAATCAAGTCCTGCATCAGGCTCCCTGCTCAGCGGGGAGTCTGTTTCTCCCTCTCTCCCTGCCTCTCCCCCTGCTTGTGCTTTCTCTCTCTCAAATGAATAAATAAAATCTTTTAAAAAAAAAATGTAAATTTTGTATTTCACCTTTTTTGGAATATCTTTTAAAAGTTTTAAACAATTTATAACTGAGAAAGATGTGCCATTGTTTATATGGCTTCCTTTACTTCCAGAGTTACAAGGCCCCCAGAGTGCAAGGCCAAAATAAATTGAAATTACTTGTGATATCTAAGTATTTGGTATTCATTCAAAAAGTATTTATTGTGACTATGTGCTGGGCATAGTCTAGGGACAGTGCTTTATTTAAACAGCTTTGAAATAAACATTTACTTTTAAAATGCCTTTTCAAAAGTAAACATTCAAAAAACCCTATTGATTAATGTTTTTTTATTCACTCATTCATTCATTCAGCATTTGTTGAGTCCCTCAATATACATCAAACTCAGTGCACACTATAAAGACACTAAAATGAGCAAGAAAGGATCTCTGCCCTCTAGGAGCCTACTGCCCCATCAGGAAGACTGGTGTGTAATTAAATGAATATTGTGACAGAAGTGTGTTGACTTACAGAAGGCACACAAAGCAGGAGTGTTTTGCCTGGGAGCTCTGGAAACACTGCATAGTGAGGTGATACATTGTTCTTTCCCGTCCCTCTGCCAACACAAGAACACATTTTCTTAGGTTAGGAGGGAAAGAAAACAGTTAATATATTAACAGATTTTTTGCCCTTTGGAGGAGTTACAGATAATAGCTTTAAAAATAGATCGACAAAGCAAAGTCCATTAAAACGTATTAAGTCATATCCTTTTTTTTAAAATGGGATCTGTACTTTGTGCAGATTATAAGCAATGAGTAAGTCCTCCATTGAGGAGAGAATGACTAAGAAATGTCACTTTCTTTTGGGGTGGGAGTTTTTGTTTTTGGAGGTGGTGTTATTTGTTTTGATCTATTGTCATGATTGGATTCTGGTGTACTATTTGGAATTGACAATGAGTTAAATGACCTTGAAATGATAGTGAAGATAATAAAAAGGAAACCCTGATTGAATAATGTCACTGTTAACACCCCGTTGGGGATAGCTACTAGTGTGTCCCTCGAGTAGGCATGAAACCTCAGAGGTTTTATTTTCCCCCCAGAAACTTTCTTAAATGGTTACCAATGTTTGTCCTTGGGCCTGCATGTTTCTTTCTATAATACAGGCATTAAACAAAAGCAAAGCACAGTGGGTTTGGGAAGAGTAGTCCTGAAGATTCCCTCAAGGAGACAGAAACTAATCTTTTCTTTCAGTGCTAAGCATTTTTAAAAGGAGACTATAATCTTCCTCCTCCATTTCCACTTTCTCTTTAAATATTTCTGTATTCTCACTTCTGTCCCTACTCCTCTACTTGCACTGTTCTTTAACATAATATTATTAAGTCTCCCTCTCTCTGTTCAAATAGTGCTTCTTGTCTCAACTACTTTATTTCACAAAGTTGCTGCAAGGTAGTAAGAATAAATGCAACTACAGTACTTGTGTTTGTATGTGCTTATGTTCTTTCTTCCCACCTGAACTGAAACAAATACAGTTTTTACTATACTCAAATATCACTGTAAAATGAAAACAATTAAAAATGGAAATGTCTCATTACCCAGAGCATGTGCCTCCCCCCAAAAAAGTTTTTACAATATGATATCTTTTTTTTTTTTTTTAAGATTTTATTTATTTGCGAGAGAGAGAATGAGAGACAGAGAGCATGAGAGGTAGGAGGGTCAGAGGGAGAAGCAGACTCCCTGCTGAGCAGGGAGCC